TATATATATATATATATATATATATAAAATTTAACTTTATAATTTTAAAATATAATAATACTTAATATTAAAAATCTTACGAGTCAAACTTATAAAATTCAAATTCTAAATATGTCATCTAAAAGTTTATGTTAGGTACTTACTAAATAAAGAAAAGTAAGATCCTTCTTAAAAAAAATATATATGTAATGATTATTCACTCTATCTCAGATTATCTGTAATATTTTTAAAAAAATAACTCTCTTAATTTTTTGTTGTTTTAAAAGTTCAAAATAAAATTATTTATTTTATTCTTAATTTGTTCTTGAAGACTACTTCTTAAATATAGAGTAAATATTTAATAAAAATAGATTATTTTAAGATATAAATAAAAATAAAATAGTAAAACTCGCGAAAAATAATTTGAGACGGAGTATTAATTTGTTTTTCACTGAAATGATTATTTATTAATTGACACCTTTCATTTTCCATTCCAACCTAACATATAGCATATGACAAAGCAACGACCGCTTTAATTCCGACAAAAGAGCTCTACGTAAGTACAATAGCAAAGCGGTTCTGTATTATCTAATAATCTCCGGCGGCGGAAGACGGAGGAGAAAAAGATGGATCTAGAAAGCTTAGGTGGGCTGACTATGCATATAATCTTATCCAAATTAGCACCTCAAGATGCTGCATCAGTAGCTTGTGTTAGTAAGAGGTTTAGGAATTGGGCTTCTGATGATTTGCTTTGGTCCAGATTTTGTGCTGATGATCTTGACCTTTCTTCCCCACTTGACCCACTTGACAACCTCATGCCTTCTTTCAAGGTATAGCTGCTCAATTTTATGCATTTAACTGAGGTTTTAATCCAAAGTAGTAATCTTTTAGTCCTAAAAAATGAAATACTACTTGATATTTGGTGTGAATTTGGACGTATCTTAATTTTTGTTATTTGAAATTAGTACTGATACTGGGAGTAACATAATTACAAGTGATTGAAGCATTCTTTTGTGGTGATTGTTGATTGTTATCTTCCTTGAGCTAACAATTTCTTTCTACTCCCTTCGTCCAATTTATTTGGTAGTTTTTGACTCGGCACCAAGTTTAGAGAAGAAAGGAAGAATTTTGAAACTTGTGGTCTAAAATAAATCATAGATAGTTGTGTGGTTGTAAATTAGTTCATCAAGGGTAAATTGGGGTAAAGGGGGTACTAGTTTATATCAATAAAAATAAAAAACCCCACAAGAAAAAAAAAGGAAAAAATTTAGAAGAGCAATTCATTGTAAACATCTTTAAATGTGGTGATTGAGCACACAGAAGATCGTGGAATAGGATTGGATTAAAGCAAATTAACTTCTAAGTTGGGTTTTGATAGTAGGGTATAATGTACTTCTTAGTCTTAGGTGTTTGGTAGTGTTAAAAATGTTATCTAGATAGAAACTTTTTGAACTAAATTCCCTCTGTCATGATTTATGTGAGGGTGTTTGACTCGGCACGAAGTTTAATGAAGGAAAGAAGACTTTGAAACTTTGGTCTAAAATAAAGCATAGATATTTGTGTGGCTTTAAATCAATTCATTAGGGTAAATTGGGACGGAGGATGTACTAGTTTATATCAATAAAAATAAGAACTCCACTAGAAAAGAAAAAAAAGGAAAAATTTAGAAGAGCACTTCATTGTAAACATCTTTAAATGTGATGATTGAGCATACAGAAGATCGTGGAATAGGATTGGATTAAAGCAAATTAGCTTCTAACTTGGGTTTTGATTTTTGGGTATAATGTGCTTCTTATTCTTAGGTGTTTGGTAGTGTTAAAAATGTTATCAAGATAGAAACTTTTTGAACTAAATTCTCTTACTGAGTGAGTTTTCGTTAATACGAACGCCTTGTGCTGCTATTACATATTTACATTGCTCCAAATGATGCTTTAGCATTGTTTCTCCCTTTGCTTCTTGATAATCGAGAACTATTAATTCTACCCTCATTAAATGCTGAATAGTTACACAAGAATAGTTTTTCTCCATTTCCAGTCATAAAATATTGCAGGGAGTAGCAGTTGCGGACAATTTTTTATCTAGTTCTAGTTGTAAAGGGACCATATCATCGTTATTAGCAACGCGGGTAGGAGTAATCTATACCTGACTTATCTGCAATTTATAAAAGAAGAAAAGTAATCTAGACCTCTACATCAAATTTAGGCTCAGTATTTGGGGAAGTGATACAATGGTTGCCACTTTTATGTTTTGCTATGTAAAGTAGAAAATTTGAGAAATACAATTGAATAAGGATATCTGTCTTTTCTTCTCTTGATTGAAAGAAGCAGACTGCTTGGTGAATTTCATTTTGCTCTGTCATGCACACTCACTAGATTTATTATTTAAGCTTGCAATTAAAGGAAATGGGGTTGCTTCTCTTCAGAATCTTTTTTTTTAAGATTAGTTTTCATTTGTTGCCTGCTTTATGTTGTTGGAGAATGAGGAGGTGGAGCATTTGTCTGGTAGTATGTGTTGTCCAAGTGTCAGGTTATTCTAGGTTGAGACGAATCTCTGATGTGCCATTTTTTATTTCTTCTTGTCTGTTTTGATCATGTTAACAGTAACCCTGCGATGCTTGTAAATATATACACTCTGTGTAAATGGTCTCTCACAGCTTGCACATGCATCTACATTCCTTCAGACATATCTGCCATTAGTTTGCATTCCTGAAACACTTCTGACATCTTGCCATGTTTATATTGTTACTTAGGCATCTTATCAAACATGGCGGGAAGCTTTTAATCTTTACCCATGGCCCTTGGTCACTCGAGTTAAAAGATGTTGGGGCAGACTAAGAGACTGGCTAGCAATGAATTTCCCTGAAGTTTTGTCTACATTGCGTAAAGGTGCATCTGAGGATGAAATACAGGAGTTGGAGAAGAGTTTAAAAGTAAAGTTGCCTCTTCCTACTAGGGTTCTCTACCGGTTCTGTGATGGTCAAGAACTGACAAGTGAGGAGTTCAGTGGAAGCGCGGCTGGGAGTTTGTTGGGCCTCATAGGAGGCTACTCCTTTTATGACCATCTAGTGAATGTATCTTTGCTGCCTTTACATCAGATGATAATAGAAACTAAAGAAATTATCAGACATCTCGGATTTGGCAATCGATCTAAGTACATCGTTGTAGCAGCCTCTTGCGGTTACAATGAAAAGATTTTCTTCCTCAACTGTTCCAATGGTCAACTTTATGTTGGTACTAGAAATCTCTCAACTGATGGAGAAATGCTCCCTTGTGTGCCAAATGCCTTGATAAGTTCGGTTCATGATGTAAAAGGCAGTCAACAACAAGATGCCGTGCTCTTGTGGCTAGAGGAACATGGCCGTCGTTTGCAAAATGGCATGATCAAAGTCCGTAAAGAAGGAAAAGTCAGAAGTATCAGTCTTTTTCCGGAAGAACCTCCAATTTGTTCTCTTGCTGTAACAAATGGTGTAAAGGTAATTGTTCCGACCTGATGGAGCAAACCAAATAGACATTGCACTTGTCAGTTGTTTTTGGGTTTTAATTTTCATCCTGAAGACTGATAGTTAAATCATGTCAGGTTCGTGCTTCTTCTGTGTTCGTCCCAGAGTCCAGTAACCTTCAAGATGATTCTGAGAAGTTTTTATTTGCTTATTCTATCCGCATGTCTCTTTCACCCGAAGGATGCAAAATGAATGGAATGACCTTCAGCTCTTGCCAACTATATTGGAGACGTTGGATCATCCGCTGCAATAACAGAATTGTAGATGATGTAAATGGAGAAGCAGTGATAGGAAAGGTATCATTTTCATGAAGTTGTTTGATGAGGAAACGATCCTTATTAATTGAAATGTCGAAGCTTACGGTTGATATACTTTCAACTGTCAACTTTATCTAGCCAATTCATTGTGGGCACCTTTCTCATGTGTCTATAAGATATTTTTGTTTTCTTTGGAAAAGAAAGAAGGGGACGTGTTTGTCATTGGGTGAATGAACTTGAGATCTTTCATTTTTTCTCTTTAAGTTATTTACAAAATTGTTAGTGCTCTAGTCAGTTGAGAAGTATCTCTACCTTGATCTTTTACCGGGTTAAAGATGTGTGAAAGAGATATGGTGAAATCATACTATTATATATATTGTAAGCATGAAGATCAAAAGTTGAATGTGAAAGACCAAAATAACCCTATACTATTATTAGACTTTTATGCCCTTAAAAGTTATTTTAATAATACCTTCAATATTAATAACAAAAGTTAGTTTTGTAACATTAAGTTTGACTTGGGGATTATCAAAGAATTTTGGGCTAACATTTGCAGTTCTTAAAAAAATCAAATAATTTTTTTGAGCTAACATTTTATCTTCTCTTATTTTTCTTCGCTTAAATATTTAGATTGTTATTAGAAATGATTTCTAATTGCAATCTTTTTCTTATAAATACAGTCATGATTCAAAGCATTTTACCATCCATGTAGAAGACGATATAGTTTTTTACTAATTATATGGAATAGACGCGCAACGCGCGTGTCCAAGGACTAGTACTAGAATATTTGTTTATTACAGAGGAGAGAGGGAAAAGCATTTTAAGCTGTCAGCTATTTACTTTTATGAATCTGAAGTTCCGCAGGAGCTTTTTTGGACATCTCAAAACTCTCATATTTCGGTCATACTTTTGCAAAAGAAACTTAAGTTAATATCAAAGAACTTTGAATTAACAGCAGCAAGGCTCTTTTCCTTCCCCTTTCCCCTTCACCCACCCAAACCAAGGTTGGTGATTCTTCTCTACATTCAGGTGACCTGAATAATTTCAACATTATATCAAAAGAGTGTTTGAGAATTGAGATGAAATCGGCATCTAACAGAAAGAAAGAACACAATGTAGTGGGTGGGATTATTTGTGTGAAATGGTGGTGGCACACTCTTCTGTTGTAAATAGTTTTTGATCCCATCTTGGTGTGATATTAATGAAATAATATTTGATTTCAACCGAAAAAGAAAGGGAAGAAGAGAAACAGAAACAGTAGATTTTGAGGGAACATGTTTGTTTATTGTTAAAAAAACAAAACAACAAGCAGATTTCCTTATTGCTAGTTTACCACACGTTGAATGTTTGTTTCTCCTTTAGTTGTACCAGTGATCTCTTTTGAGCAATATGCATAGTCCTTTTTCCCAGAGATACAAAGGTTAACTATGGGAGCTGCTGCCTTTTCTTTCTATTTGTATTGGGCATTATTGGACCTATTGGCCCCAGTCTTCATATGTGCTGAGATTATCTCATTTTTTGCACTTATCATATTTGCAGTTTCCATTACTGCGACCAGGTGAAGAAGAATTTGTCTATGAAAGTTGCACAGCACAGTCATCTTCACCAGGCTCAATTGAAGGAGCTTTTACTTTCGTACCTGGGAGGTATGTCACATACTGCAATCGCTACACCATCAAGATGAAGTTCTATCTGTTCTTTTGAAATGAGTTTAATATTACACCTTCACATTCGCTCTGTACTCTGTAGTGGATGTTAATTGCAGCTCTTTCATGTATACACCCATTTTATGTAGCCAACTTGTAGATCCTGATCCAATATAGTTTTGTTTTGATCTTGAAGTGAAACAACAGTTTTGCCGCCTTACTAGGTTCTTAGCTTCATAGAAAACATTGCTTGAAGCAATTCAAAGTTTGGCAGTTCACTTCAGTGACGTGGTCGAACAGCAGCTTTAAATATGTGTCCTTGGAGTGAGAGTGACATGTTTTGACCTGAATAATCAGGTGAGCATTTGCTAGGCTTTTAAGTGGTAGGGCAAAGCCAGTCTTTTGACATAGTCAGAGAGCGTCTGAGCAGGACAGATACAATTAGTTGAACAAGATATTAGTGAGTTGAGAACCTGAGGTCTCAGGTTCAAATCCCAGCGGAGACAAAGACACTAAATGATTTCTTCCCATCTATCCAAGCCTCGGTGGATAGAGTTACCTGGTACACCTTTTGCTACTGGGAGGTAGCAGGTATCCTGTAAATTTAGTCGAGGTGCATGCAAGCTAGTCTGGACACTACAGTTATAAAAAGAAAAAAAGAAGATATTTAAGGCTTTTTATTCCACTGCAACAAGAGTTTGTCCATTCTTTTATGTGGTGAGATTTCATTCTCAAAAGAAGATGTCCCACATATGATATAGTCGTCCAATAGTTATATTTTATAACGGAAGAAAATAAGAGAATGTGGCAATTTGTTTTTTCATTTGACTGACGGTAGTAGTCAGATTTGAACTAGGACAACCGGATCTGCTGTTTTCTGCCTCAACACTTGGTCACAATGATTTAATGAATAAATAATAGATGAAGACAACAGAGTTTTTATTGTTTTTCTTCATTGAGTTCTACCCAAAGGCTAGGTGCATCATTATACAGGTATATGGAATCTCTAAGCTCTATTTTGTAGATGTTCAGGTTGGTATACATCTGACTATGATGGAACAGGAAATGTCAGTCCAATAATTTGTCAAATTTATCACTTCATATTTACTTTTTGTATTTAATCATTTGTTACTTTGCAATGCCTTTTGTTGTATAGAATACTTCAGTGATATGAAAGAGTTTGATAACATTTGTTCTTGGCTGGCTGCTAAAACATGTTTGTATTTCTTTCTCTGCAGATTAGCAGATCCAAAAGGTAGTGCATTTGAAGCAGAGGTGGCAAGGTTTCCCCTTCTGGTGCCAGACTATATCTTCTGATGGAACTCGCTCGAAGTGTAATGCTTTCGTCTCTTTCCTTCTGGGCCAGGAACGGAAGTTGTCGTTAAGCTCTCAGCAAGTCGCCAAGGAATGTCCAGAATTTGAGAGGGAGAGTCCTGGCTTCTTTTAAGTCATGCAGTTGTCTATAGTGAATAAGCACTTGCTCTTTGTTATTAATGTGTGATCTTTTTTCTTTTCTCATGGGGGATTTAGCTTTTTCCTCCTTCAGGTTGTGATATTCTTTGAGTGCTTCTTTGGTTTACTGTTGGGTTCCTTTTTGTGCAACAAAATTATTTTGACTATACCGTGTTATAGAAACTGATAGAACATGTAAACCGAAGCTTTACTCTGTGATACTCGCGCTCTTCCCTGCCCCGGCTATTCTTGTTATTGTGTCAATCTGCCATGTAGTGGTTTCTTTGGTTTTACAGTCACCCCTAAAACTGGAACAATTTCTTGAGTGAGCCAAAGAACCAACAGCAGTCTTCTAATGACAGGGCTCTTTTAACACTTTGCACTTAAGGCTAGAATGCTGGAAGAACCATATATAAGCCAAAACACTGATAAGGATTTTTAAGTTTTCTTGGAATCTAATTTTAGAGCTATTTTTGTTTTCTGGCCGACGACTATACCTGATAAATTTAATAGTGCATCAAGCATGACCTGGCTATAAAATGACAAATGAAACTGGATAGAAACATCCAGTCCAAAATGATGTTTAACTGCAAGTGGAGAAACATATCATGCACTGTACTGTATTGTTTCTTGTCACTCTGATACTTAAGTTATCTTTCATGAATATTATTGATTGAGCGTTAAGTCGTGTTTTATTTTGCGAGGAACACACAGAAAGATGTGGAATAGTTCAGAAACTTGTATCATTATCGGTTCAGACACTTCGGTTAGCCGTTTAAAACCAGCAATATGTGGATTATATCATTCTCGATAGTCTCACATCAACAGTTATTTATGTTAAGCATATTCAACCTTTAATGATATGCACCCTGGCTCTTATAGCTGTGAATCTCACAACTTTAACGAATATTAGTTGTTACATCATTAAACTTTTTCTAAAATTAATTTTTTGGTTACTCCATATTCGAGGGTAATGTAATTCTAAAATATTCAAATAGAACATATAGCAGCATATGCAAAAGGCACAAAAGTTGCTCATTTTTATCAATTCAAGAAAAAACATGCCTTATATTGCAAGGACCAAAATTGAGTAATTCATCAATAACTGAGGGATCAAAAGTGCAATGATTCCAAAAGAATAAGGTGCCCATGTCAACATGTCCGGATATGAATCCCTGTCCTAATTTATAGCATGTCCGTAAGCATTATTATAATTACAAATTTGCACTTTCCTTCCACCGCAGGGCGCAGCACACTCTTCTCAGATTTTGCCTCTTTTCTTTATCCTCTCTTCAAAGCTTTTTCCTTTCACATTCTCTTTTTCTCTCTAGCCTATCATTTATTCCCCATGTGAAAAGCTGCTTGATTCTATTTTCCCTTTCCTGGAGATCTAAAGAAACCGTGTAAGAATTTCTCTTTCTTCTCCTCTTTTTTTGTTTTAATAAATAAATTTGTAATCAATTCTTTTTTCGTTTTCTTTATTACCTATCTCTTTCATTTTAGTGCTCTGCATTTTGTCCTTTTTTGTCCGTCTTAAATTCTTCAAAAGGGTTGTTAAGGTTTCAAATTTCTTTGAATCTTTCAATTCCGCGTTCGTGTGTTCTTGTCTCTTCTTGAATCTGAGATTTCTGACAACCATCAATCCCTTTTTTTTTTTTTTTTTATCAAAGATATTATGGGGTTTGCTCATTTTCCTTTTCTTTCCATTTTTCAGGTTGCATTTTACAGAGGAAATTGATCTGAGATAAGCTTGCTCAGTATTTGTGAAATCTACAGGGTCTCAGCAAGGGGCTTCATGTTCTGTTATAGCTATGTTTTGGTGGAATTTGAATACCTCAGGATTTTAGATGCAGAGAAAAACAACTTACATTGTGAGAAGGTTCTTGCTTTAAGCGAAAAACGAATTATTACCTGTTGATTTTTGTGTTTCTGTTATCAAGGTTGTTCCGTCTGGAGTATGTATTTTATGTGTGTAAAAGTTGGATTTTTTGGCTCTGTGATATTTTAGCATTTGAAGATCATTAACCTGAAGGGTAGGTTTTATAATATATACTGTGTGGACTGGGAGAACTTATATGGATAAGGATAAGTCTTCAAGCCATACAGTAGGTTCATTGCCTCCATTCGGGAGATACTCATTGTTTTCACCTCCTGGGGGTAGTTCCAATGCAAAGTTGGAACAATCTGGATTAGCTAATTTACCTCCCTTGGGACCTGGAAATGCTTCAGAATCAGGTCATTTTGGTCATGGTTTGTCGGCTGATTCTAGCCGATTCAGTCATGATATAAGCCGAATGCCTGATAACCCGCCTAAGAAATTTGGTCATCGGCGTGCCCACTCGGAGATTCTTACTCTTCCTGATGATATTAGCTTTGATAGTGATCTTGGTGTTGTTGGTGGACTGGATGGACCGTCTCTGTCGGATGAGACTGAGGAGGACTTCCTCTCAATGTACCTTGACATGGATAAGTTTAATTCTTCATCTGTGTCTTCTGATTTTCAAGTGGGCGAGTCTTCTTCTTCGGCAGCTGCAGCTTCAGGTTCATTGCAAATTCCAGCAATGGTTTCAGCAGCCTCAGGGTCAGATAATTTCGGCCCCACTGTTAGCGCCAAGCCAAGGGTTAGACATCAGCATAGCCAGTCCATGGATGGTTCAACTACAATCAAGCCGGAGATGCTTATGTCAGGTGTAGATGAGGCATCTCCACTTGAAACTAAGAAAGCTACGTCTGCAGCGAAGCTTGCTGAACTCGCTCTTGTTGATCCAAAACGTGCCAAGCGGTAAGGCTTTAGATGGAAATGTTGTTGCTCATTTAAGTTTGCAGTCTGTTTCACGTTACTTTAGCTTGGCTATACCATTGCATTTTGCTTTTCTGGTGCATGGTCTTGCTTGGGATGAAATCTTTACGTGGAGGTTTAGGGGCTGACTAGGGAGGGAGGGCCCTAAGCTATGAGCCTCCTGAATATGCTTTTGAAAAAAGTTTTAGATTTAATGCTACAGTGCTGTTTTGCAAATGCCTGCTCCGTGTGAAGCAGTGCTGTTAAAAGCTAGCCCAAGCGAGGCTGAAGTGCTTCAAGTGTGTGACAAGGGTGTGAAGCAAGGCGAGGTTAATGAAGCGACTGCTTCATAGTCTGAAGCGTGAAGTGAGGCTGAAACGATCTCGTCTTCTCTGTTTTCTGGAAAAGGGACTTAGTTGGAAGAAAAAAGAAATCTGGGACTTGTTTTTTTTTCTTTTTTTAAAAAAAAAAGAAGAATAGAAAAGCTGAAGAGCATTATCCACATAGAGGCGACCTCATGTGTTCATCAGACTTCAACCTAGGGTTCAAACTTTTTCATCCGTAATTTTCTTCTTCTTTCTTCTTGGGTGGTAAGGTTTTTCGCTGCTGTGTAGTTTTCGCTGGCAGCTCTTTTTTCTCCATTCTTTGTTCTTCAAGCTTTTCTTTTTCCCTTTTTTCTTCTTCTCTTATTTCTTCTTATTCAGCTTTTATATTTTTTGTCTTTCTTTATTTTTTTCAGTTTGCTAATTTAATAGAATTTGCCATTTTCAGTTTGCTAAATTAATAGAATTTGCCATTTTCAGTTTGTTAATTTAAGCCCAAGCTGCATATTTCTTTGTTCCAATCCATTTTTTCAATAGCCTTTTTTGAGTTACAATAGACGTTTCTGAATTTATTTCTTTGTCAACAATTATAAATTGAAACACACATGCACACACACACACACACACACTCTTTTGGTTTATTTTGGTATTTCTTAAAAAGTTGCACTTAACTTCAATGAAGGGAGCGCCCCGCTTCTCGCTTCACGCTTTAAGCTAAGCAGGGCCCTGTCACTTTTTTGTGCTTCGTGCTCTCAAAAACACTGGTCTGAAGATAATCATTTATTCCATTGGTGGTGAGGCATTTTATCTATATGTTGTTTAGCACTTGCTCCTCAATCTTTTTGGTTTTTGTTTTTGTCATCAAACTTCTAAAGGTTTGCCTATTGTCTCTTCTATCAAGTTTTTCCCTTCAATGGCTAACGAAGATGGTGAAATGATGAAAGTTGTTAGAAAGGAAAATAAAAGAGTATAGAGAGACAAGGCCCTTCTGGCCCTCTACCATAACTGTGTCAACAAGTGCCTCACACTCCCCAGAACATTTCTGTTCTATTTCTTGTTCTCTCCTGCTCTCCTTGAGCCTACAGAAGAGGAATCTCCCCAGAAATTGGATTTCATTTATGGTGTGTAGAAATCCACCTCTAAGAACCAGAATCCAGCTTTCTTGACTCCTCTAAATTAGCTAAAGTTGGCCTCCATTGTTGGTGAGGAGGGCGCACTGCCACTGCCCCTCCCCTACCTTCTAGGAAATTGGGACTTGTTTGTCCATTAGAGGGAGGCTGGGAAAAGAGATAGAGAATATGTAAGATCAAAACTGTGGACCCCACCAGGGAGTTTGAAGCAGGCAACAGAAACCATGTGAAGTGAGAGAGATGTATATCGTCTTTATAGGGCTAATATAAAGACAAATGCCATAGAATTTTTTCTTTATAGGGTAACCGTGTCACTAAGATTTGAAAAAAGAGATAGGATGGCTCAGTATTCTAAGCTTAATTTGGTTGTCCCAGTCGAACTGTTCGTTTCACTTGAACAAATCTCCAGTTGTATTCTCTCTCATCATTGTCTTTGTTTATGCTTTGCAACAGGATTTGGGCCAACAGGCAGTCAGCTGCAAGATCAAAGGAAAGGAAAATGAGGTATATAGCAGAGCTTGAGAGAAAAGTGCAGACTTTGCAAACAGAAACAACTACTTTGTCTGCTCAGTTGACCCTATTGCAGGTTCATATCAGTTGCTCTCACTACCCTGTAATTGTTTGTTTCTGTTCCTCTTTTTAATTGTGTTTGCTTTCTGTTGTCGAAGACGGGTTTGGGCGTAATTGAAGTGATGCTTGTAGATAAGTGCTTGGTCTAGTGTCTGCAGCATCTGCTTGCATTTGTAGAAATGTACAGATATATGTATCTTTAACTTTTTCTTTACGTGTATTACAAGATTATGGATTCTGAGATGTCTGTTTTTGTTTCCACATGAAACAGAGGGATACAAATGGTCTGACTGCTGAAAACAGTGAACTTAAACTGCGTTTACAAACAATGGAACAACAGGTGCATTTGCAAGATGGTAAGAATCTGAACATGACTTCAGTAATATTTTCCCCATTAGACCTTGTCTTTTCATCTGTCTGGATAGTGGTTGCCATATCTTCGTTGGTATTCTTGAATATATTTAGTTTGACCATTCAAGCTGACTCAAAAGGGGATTATTGGTCAAATGCAAATTAAGGTCTGATTGGGTTTAGGCTATTGTTGGTTTCTGAAACTTTTTCCACGAGTTGAGAAGAAAGTGAAATTTATTTTGATTTACTTCATCACTTTCACATCCAGTGTAGTATTGATGTTTTGGTAAAAAATACTAGTAATTCTGATCTTGTTGTTCAGAAATCAACGCACCACATATTACCTTACAAGGCTAAACATATTTTTTAATAGGACCTGGTTGCCAAGTAAATATTGAGACACTCATATATTTAGTCTCATGATGGGCGCCGCCCATGTATTAGGTAATACTCTGTTTCATCCATTAAAAAATAGATAGGTTAGAAGACACCAATAGGCTATAAGTCACCTTGTAACGCCCTTGACAGCATTTAACTCAACAAGACCTTATTTCCTTGTACTCAGTAAAAGATCATACTAGGCTGATTAGAACACTTTCCTAACATAAATTTCCTTGTCTCTCTGAAAAAAATTTCATCTCCATGATCTCTTCAGCTTTTTTCCAACTTCTTCAGCCAGATTCCGGATGCAACCCTATGTGGATGATAAAATGAAATTTATTATACTTACTACTGAGAAACATGAGCCTTGAAAAACACTTCTCTAAGATTAGTAGCTATGCAACTTTTCTGTATCTGTAAATTCCTTAAACAGGAATTCCTGAATAACTGATTCATATCCCAACTTGGGTGAAAAGGGGAATTCTTATCGTGCGACTTTTGGCATGTGAGTGTGATGGGAGATTTCCTTCTAATGATATTTGTCTTAATTCACTTCTCAGTTGAGCTACTCCTTCACGTGTACCACCCTCTCCTTTCCAAAAGGGGGGAAAGGCCAGAAACAGAAAAAGTGAATGGCTAAAAGTTTAAGTGATAAACTGTAGAAGACCTATATTCAATATAATCGGTACCTTCATAAACAGAAGATTTGAAGGATCACACCATTTTGCCTGCTGTCATTTGTTCTGCCTTGCAACTTTCAGACCTTAGCAGATTTTTGTTAGTTTAATTCCTTGCTAATCTGCAGTACGCATAAATTGCCACAAGATGTTTCTATAGAAATTTTGTCGAAATTACTCTAGGAGCATCTTCATCTTGTTCAATGTGCATCTTTTACAAGTCTGACAATTTACACATTTGGAAGAGCAACATGTCTTGAGTTCCTTGTGCCGGATGTGCTGCGAATGATTAGTAGACAAGTCATTGCTATCTGTCCGAAATCATCCTCATTGATTTATGAATTGCTTAAATGTTTTCTTAGTTTCTTTAATGTATCAAAAAACACTGAGGGCAAAAGTAGTTTGGGTTTTTGTCTGGAGGGTTTCTAATATTCTGCTCTGTTTTTTCCCCTTTATTTTCTATGTATAGCATTGAATGACGCTCTAAAGGAGGAGATACAGCATCTGAAAGTGCTAACTGGACAAGGCATTGCAAATGGCGGACCAATGATGAACTTCCCAGCATCCTTCGGAGGCAATCAGCAATTTTACTCTAACAACCATGCGATGCATACGTTGTTGGCTGCACAACAGCTTCAGCAGCTCCAGATACATTCTCATAAGCAACAACACCAGTTTCAGCAACATCAGCTCCACCAGTTTCAGCAGCAGCAACAGTTGCAACACCAGCAACAACTGCAAGAACAACTGCACCAAGCAGGAGATATGAATTCGAGAAGTTCACTGTCATCTCCTCAAAATGACAATGCTTCTGATACTAGTGCTATATCAAAGGATTGAAAAACACACAGGCATTGTTGGCCGGAGAGTATAGAGTTGGTCTATTTTTTCAGAATCATCATGTGTTTTCATCTAGCTCAAAGTCTATGTTTCAAAAGCATCATGTGTTTTTCATATAGCTCAGCTTATTACTCTTAATTAGGTTGGTTAGCTTCATCTGCATTTTAGTACTATATTGTAGGGTCATTGACTTTTTAGTTGAAAATTGTGCAAGTCCCATTCTATGGCAAGTCATTGTGCTCGACATGATTTTCTTCATATATTACCAAAATTCTTTGTGGTGGTCTTTTTTAAGACATCAAGTAATTTACAGTATTTCTCTCATAGTGTCAGTGTTCACATATTACTAATTACATTTGAGGCATGTTTACGCTCCTCGCGAGCCGAGGGTCTATCGGAAACAGTTTCTCTGCTTCCTCAGAGGCTTCCAGGTTAGGGGTAAGGCTGCGTACATCCTACCCTTCCCAGATCCCACTTGTGGGATTATACTGGGTGGTTGTTATTGTTGTTGTTGTTGTTTACGTTCCTCGCGATCATGGAGGATACCTGTTGGTTTTGTCTTGTAACTCTCTGTTCTGAATCTGTTATCACTTTGAGAAAAATTGCAGGGTGGAACTAATTTCCAACGTTTGCCTATGAAGTAACCTTTTCAAATTCTGAATTATATTTTATGTTTTGATTCATTTCAAACTGTGCTTCCCTCTTGCATGAATACAACTTATGACTCCATGTCATCTCCTCTTCAAGACTGTATTTGGCTAACTCACCTGAGCAAGTGTGGCGATTTTTATAACTTCTACAACAGGAATATCATTTATTTTTTTAAGAGTAAAACAAACCACAAAGCAGTTCTTGCCCAAAAGAAATGGTTTTCGTTAATAAAGCTTTTATAGAACAAGTAATAAAGTAGAGGCATCCGCTGTCGTGTGAGTGGTAGATTTAAGCATTTAGAGCCAGATTGGCCAAGCTTTTAGGAGGCCAAAAATACTTTTTGGTGGTCAAAAAAAGTATTTTTTGGAAAATTTAAAGTGTTTGGCCAAGATGAGAAGTACTTTTGAGCAGCAGCAGAAGCAATTTTTCTATTTTTGGGGAGAATATACAAATTCTAGCTTCTCCCAAGAAGTAGAAGTAGAAGCCAATAATTTGTTCAAGACATAAATAACCTTATAATAAATATATATTTCCTAATTATCCCTCATTATTTTAACATTTTTCCTTATCCTTATCCTTTTTATTTTTGCTCTATCTTTCTTCTCTTTTTTATTTTAATCATATTTTTATTCTCTTTCTCCTATTCTTAAGAGTAAATTTTAATTTTATATTGATTGATATATTTTGACATATTTAAATTATTATGTAAACAATAAGTAATACTAAATAGTCAATTTAATTGCTTTGGAATAACTATATTTTATATTGATTGAAATATTTAATTTATATGTATACTTTATAATTCTTTTATAATAAATGTTTAAATTTATTTATTTATTTTAAATAATACTAATTACAAATTGAATCTTTACTGTCTTTTTTCGTAATTTAATACTTAAAAGTACTTTTTGAAAAGATTAGCCAAACACAGTGAGATTGCAAAAAGCACTGTTAAAACGAACACAAATTGTTATTTTACAAAGTATTTTTCCAAAAAGTACTTTTAAGCTAAAGCACTTCTCAAAATAAGCAATTTTTGAATGCTTGGTCAAACAGGCTCTTAATCAAAAGATAAAGTTGGTGCTCCCTCTGTTTCAAATCAAATTATGTGAAGGCGTTCAAAGTGTGAATTCGAACATACATTATCAAAATTCTTAAAATAAAATTTATAAAAAAATTATATGAAAAGTATAAGTGATGTAGTTAATAATTTAAAATATTTAAAAAAAAAACTATACAAATTTCCAAATACCCAAGCTTCGCATTATGCAAATAATTTTAAATGTCAAAGCTAAAAAAAAAGTAAATAAAATAAAATGGAAAGAGAGTCCTCTACATTTTTTATTTTTATTTTTATTAGAATTTGCATTTGCTTGTCTTCTCTGTCACTTCTTTCACCTTCAAATCATCTAGAACAGAAGAATCACTTTTTGTTCTTTTTCCTGAAATTTTCAAAAGACCCCCAACCAAACAAATTTAATCCGTATTCTGCGACTCCGCAAGGGGTTGCTTGTTATGCTGAGTTTAACATCGAAGACGACGAAACTCTGATAGATTTATGAGGACTCCGGATAAATACCGGGTATTTATTGTGATAAAATTGTTGGAAATGTACGTCAAGTCTGAAGATGTTCGCAATAATGAGGTTACGCAAAGTAGGGATATTCTCAATCATCGGGTGGTTATTTTGGAGCAGTTTTAGCCGAACAGGTTTCGGGTGAAAGAGTTTGGCCTGATCTAAACTTATCTCCATGGGCGAATGAGGAGCGAGGAAATAACTTCTCCCCTAGTTTACATAATCCACAAGCCGAGTGGTAAACTTTAATTTTTCTTTGTGTTACGATATTTATTTCTGGGTATTGAATTTGTATTAACACTCATATATTCCACAGGGAGTACCGGCCAAATATGAATTTCACAAGTTATGAACCAACGGCCAGTTGGAATATGCCTAGTTTTGGTGTGTTGGATCATGGTGGTCCATTCGGGAGTCATCATCAACAGGATAATGTGCATCATGTGATATCAACACATTATGATTTGTAAGGGAAGTGATAAAGTTTATATGTAATGTTTGGATCAATGTGAGCAACTCATTATGTTTTTTGGTTGTGCAGGGAAAACGAGCAACTTGAAGGTCATGTCCTTACTCAATTGCCCAAAGACGACATATTTAATCGGGATCTGACAGATGCGCAGAGTCGGGAAGAGAATATTGATTATGACAACAATGCCGATGAGTCTGGAGATGACACACCCTTCCCTGATAAGGGTGATGATGAGGAGGAAGAGAATGCTGAACCTGATTTGACGAGAGAGCAAGCTCCACCTCCCGTTAGACCAAGAGTGTACGAGTCCCACGTGCCATTTCATTCAAGGGAGATCCCCTACCTTGATCATTTTCCAAGTATGCCGGATGTGGATGCCCTCACAAGGGATATTGACGAAATTCAGACAGCAACGTGGGATAAATCTAGAGTAACGGTGCTGTCAAAGGGCATTCTTTTTCTTGATAAAGTGTGCCTAAGCAGCGCGGTGCGAATGTACAGCGTAAAAGAGTATTGTAAATTTGTGGTTCACGATTCATCTCCGGATGTATACAAGGTTATTTGCCGTAGATGGTTTACGGGTTGTAATTGGATGTTGCGTGCGAGGAAGAAGAAAATAAATATGTGGGTTGTGGGTAAATACATTGCACCCACAATTGTAAAATTGACACATTCAGTGGGAATCATTTTAACTTGAATGTTGACTTGATTTCTCTTGTCTTGATTCCGCACATTGATGCGTCCATAAGGTACAAGATCAAAGAGTGTATAACATCTGTCCACCAGGAATATGTGTGTGCCATTACCAAAAGAGAGGCATTTTTCGGGCGCAAACGTGCATTTGAAATTGTTTAGGTAACTGGGATAAGTCCTTTGCATCTCTACCCTGGTACATGGACGCATTGCAACACATTGACCTCGGTAGTGTTGTTGAATGGAAGCTTGAGCGGACTCCGGGAATGCCAGAAGATATATTCAGATATGTGATGGATATAATTTATTCATATATTTTTATAAGTAAATATTAAATATTTTAAATAAAAGATGAATAAATATACCATGTTCTCCCATATTTTTTTAACATACTTCGCAGGAGGAAGAGCGTATGAAAATTAAAGAAAAAAAGCAAAAAAGAGTGAGAATTGAGTAGTCAACTGGGAATGAAGAAGCAAATATAGCACCATAGTTGCGACAATGGCAATTGAAAATCATGAAGCAAATTACCTAGTTGCAACTAGCAAACTATAGTTGAAACTATGGTTCTTCCTATGCAAAATGAAACTCAATTGGCAAAGTCATAGTTGCACCTAAAATTTTTATAGTTGCAACTATGAAGAACCTTAGGCAAGAAAACTCTATAAATAGAGTGTGAATTTTAAAGAGAAGACATCGAGTCTTGGGAAGAGAAAAACTATTCTTGGTCTCTATTTTGTCTTTAATATTCCTAAGTTCTAGTAGTTATCTTTTTGTGAAAAATAATATCAATTCTTCGTATTTCTAAACTAGTTTCTTTTTCTTACTTCATAATGGAGTAATCTTTTTTTTTTGTTGGGAAAGTTGATGAAGCCTTATATATATATATATATATATATATATATAATACTATATCAGTTTTAATACATTCTTTGTTTGAAACTTTCTATTTATATTTTATATTGTGCTATAATAATGGTTTTTAACTAATCATTGTTATCACTTCTATATATTTGATCTTTAAGTAACTCTCATATTAGTTTTATAATTCTCACGGAGCAAAATTAATATATAGTAACTATTGAATAAAATAGTGAAGTGAGAGTAATTATTAGTAAGCTATTATTAAAAGTCGGTAATCTTGCTTGCCTCAATTTTAATTCTCACGGAGGAATTGTAGTCGCAGGAGTATTGATTTAGTAAAAATATTCTCACGAAGTTCTTACTATCTTTTAGCACAATTCAGACCAGAAGATATTTCGGTTTAACCGTCACTAGTTTTAACTCAATTAATTACATAACCTCACGGAGTGTTATTAGTTGATTAATTCTTGGTGAGATAAGATATAATTATATTAGCAATAAGCAATTATCCTTTAGAGAAATACATGTAGAAAGTGAGATTTTATTATAATGTATTATCAAGTGAATTCAATGATTCCCAACTCTTTTAAATTATAAATCTTTCGAAAGTTGTTTAATTTTGTTAAGTATTTAACAAGTTTTAATTCCACAAACTTTTCATCAATCTGATTCCCTCAAATAGTAGCTAAAATATTATAAGTTTGTAGAATAGATTTTCCAATCTCTGTGGGACGATATCATAAACTATACTAGAATTTGACAAAGCACGAGCAGGAAATTCTTATACACATTGGACTCGTCAAATTTTTGGCGCCGTTGCCGGGGATTGGCATACATCTACTTCAGATTAAATATTTTGTTACTAATTTGAGACCTTATTATTGTTATTTATCTATTACTATTATCACTAATTACTAAGTAGTACTATAACTACTACTGTAATATTAATATTATCATTTTCTTTTTGTAACAGGACTTTAAAAAGAAAAAAATATATATTAGTACTTCTTCCTATTAATATATACTTCTTCCTATTATTGCTATCATTAGCTTTCC